CATCTTGTCCTTCAACCCTGATATAAAGCCATTCTCTTTAAACGCTTGGGACGTGACCAACCCTAGACAAGTAACAGTTGTCAGAAAAATATCACGCGGCTTAGAATGACCAGAATTCACCAGTGAAATGGGTTACAAAGTCAACTTCCCCCAACTCACTCACTCACACACACACACACACACACACACACACACACCCCTAAACTAAATCAGGATTTTATCTGAACCGGAAGGCAGAAGGTTGGCAACTAACAGTGGTCAAAACAGATGCTACTGTTGATTTCTGAGTAGAAGGGGGGAAATTAATTTGGGGTATTGTAGTAAAACATCACTGTAACTTTCATTTCCATGCATTGCTAAAAAAAAATCACTTGGTAAAAATTAATGAGTTTGGCCAAATCAGCATTCAAATGGATTTATAGTTTCATCAAAACTTATTTTAGTTTTGTATATTAATTAAGCCCTTAGTTACCTTGTGATACACCACAAAATTATATTAACTTAAAATTCTTGAGAGAATTTAGCCAAATGATTTCCATTTTTTTAACATAAAAGTAGAAAAATAAATGATATGCTGTCAGTTATTTAAGAATTCCTTGTAGTAGTTCATTCATTATAAGAATCCCTGTTTTGTTCATGATTTAAAGTCAACATGAAGAAAACCAGACGTTGAGCTGGAAAAGATTATCCACATCACTTACTTAGTTCAGCCCTGTGTAACTTTTTACTTTAGATGTGGTATTTTCTAAATGTGGTAAATTTTTAAATTATAAGAAATCTTTCTCCAAGGTGATAGTGCTATTTATGTTTTAACACTACGTCAATCTTTAGGAGCAGTTTGAAGTTATGTCTGAGTAACCCCATCAGCTTGGTAACATCTGTGAATTTAGCAGATGAATGATGTTATTCGTGCCAAGAGTTACATAGTAAGAAAAAACAGATAGATCTAGTATTCAATGATTCAATGAACACTGAATATCATGCGCCAGGTGCTGTGCTAGACACTGGGAATATAACACTGGAAAAGGGAAATGTTCTACCCTCAAGGAGCTGCTAGCTAGTAACTCATACTCCAACGGAGAACATAATGCAGATTAAGTTCTCTAATGCTGCAGTCCCCAACCCCTGGGCCACGGACCAGTACCGGTCTGTTAGGGACCAGTATGCAGATGTCCCCCCCCTGCACCCTGTGGAAAAATTGTCTTCCATGAACTCGGTGCCTGGTGCCAAAAAGGTTGGGGACTGCTGCTGATCGCATGCCGCTGAAAGGTGGTTTCATTATAAATCTCCAGCCTACAGGGTACTCACACTGAGCTGAATAGTTGACCGAACAGCGTGCCAAATGGACTCCACAGTACCCTGTGGCTTCTACAAAGAAGTTTCAGAGGCTGTAAGTTAGGTCAGTGGCTATCAGAGGCTACCATGTTGACACTTCTGGAATATCCAGAGAAAAATCTGTATGTGTATGTGTGTTTGAGTATGTATATAAATACCTTTTAAAATAATACAAAAGATAACACAATTTTCTGCAAAATTCCTTTTCTTTTGACAATATATCTTAGAAATTCTTTGTAGAGCTACATGTAGAGCTACATCCTTCTTGTCAAAGACTGCATAGTATTCCATTGTATGGATGTACCATAATTTACATAATCGGTTGCCTAATGACATGTTTGTTTTCAATCATTTATTATTTACTAACCAAGCAATATTAATTATGCACATATGTGCATTTGTATATGTATACCAATATGGTTTTGTGTATATAATATACATGTGTGACTAACATACATAAATAAGAACATACATGAATAATTATATGTAATAGCATACATGAACAAGTATAGGATAAACTTCTCAGATGTTAATTGCTCAGTTAAGTGGATGGGCTTTTAAAACTTCAGTAGATATAGTAAAATTGCTTTCAATAGATGGTACAGCCATTACATTCCCACCAAAATGTAAGAGAGTTCCTGTTTCCGCATATGCTCATTGATATAATGTTTTGTCAAATTTTCTAATTTTTATAACTATAGTAGGTAAAAAATGGTATCTTATTGTAGTTTCAATTTGAATTTCTTTTATAAGTTAGATTTATGTAGTTAAAACCTATATGTATTTCCTTTTCTGTCAATGGTTTGTATATATTTTTTGCACACTTTTCTCAGTTGTTGAAAATAGCCTTCTCTTTAATTTATAACACAAGAATAATTTTTCTTTAGTTAGAAATTTTGCTTTTGACTCTTGATGTGGTATTTTCTAAAAAGGAGATATCTTTTAAGTTCTTACGTAGTCAAATATGTCTATTTTTTATTAATTTCCTACAACAAAGTTATAAAAGAATTCCCCTTTGTTTCATTTGGGGTTTTATTTAATAATGTTTAACACTTGACTCACTTAGTGTATTTTTTGTGTGCAAGAATAGGGCAAAGAATCCCCTTCTCTTCCCTTAATACTCTAGTTTTTCATAATTTTCTTGACAATTCTTGTTTATTTTTTCAAATAACATTTAGAATCAGTTTTCTGGAGCTAAGAGAAAAATCCTCTTAACTTTTCCTGGATATATTATGACTACTGATAAATTCAGAAAAAAGTGAAATCTTTACAATACTAAGTCTTCTCAACAAATAAGAGCATAAGACTTTTTTTATTATGTCCTTTAGTCCTCTTGAGTTTTTCATGCATAGATCTTACAGATTTCTAAGTTTATTCTTCAGTAGTATATTTTTTGTTGTTACACTTTGTTATTGTAAATAATATTTTTTTCTTCATTATATTTTAGAACTATTTATTATTTGTGTAAAAAAAGACATCTGATTTTTTAATAGTAACCTTGTACTAGAACACCTTAATGAATTCTCTTTTGTTATGAACATTTTTCAGTTTATTTTGTCAATCTTCCAAATAAATAATATCAGCTGCAAATAATGATGATTTCACCTTTTTCTTTCCAAATTTTACCTTTTATTTTTCTTTTGGGTAAGGGAACTGATCAGTATCTCCAGAGTAAAGGTAAACTGTGGTAACAGTGAACATCCCTTGCCTAAATTTTAGTGTTTCATGAGTGTTTCAGGAGACTTTAGTGTTTCATGAGTGGTTTTGGGCTTGAACGACACATACATATATATAAATATGTACATACACATCCTAAACTTATTAAAAACTGTAATCAAGGATAGATGGTGAATTTTATCTAATGACTTCCCAGCATATATGGAAAAACTGAAGTTTTTCCTTAATATTATTAACATGGCTAATTATGTTAATACATTTCTTAATATTAAACTATGCTTGAATTACTGATGTGAATCCATTTGCTTATAGTCAGTATTAGGTTTTTTAATGAGCTTCTGGGTTCTACTAATCTATTAATATCGAGGATTTCTGCATTTATAGTTATAAGGAGAAATAGTCTTGTTTTCTTTTTTGTGTTAATCTTGTCTGATTTTGGTATCGATGTTAGACTGGCTTCATACAAATAATTTGGGAGGATTCTTTCTACCTCTGTACTCTGGAGCCCTTTAACAAGCATCAAAAGACCATGAGCATGAGCACGTGGGGTTATTTGAAAAAATTATAGAAAGGGGGAAAAAAAAACCCAAACCATGCACACTGGGGAAAAAACATGAGAGACTTATATCACATACAAAGAGACGATTTCTATGATATATGAAGATTTCCAACATATCAAGAAAAAAAAAAGCCAATACATTTAGAAGACAAAAGGGCAAAGAGCAAAAGTAGACAACTGACAGAAAAAAAGTACAATGACTCATATATGTATGAAAAAGTCCTCAATTGCATTTACTAATATAATGGACAAATGTGTATTAAAGCTGTTATCAGCTCAGATTGGTAAGAACAAAATAATTTATATTTTACCACGTTGGCAAGGTGTGGGAAAAGAGACACCCATACATAGCTGGTGGAAATACAAATTGCTATAACTTTTGTAGAACATGATTTGGAAAAATTTAATAATATCAAAATGCACATGACTTTAGAACCAGCAATTTCACTGCTACAAATTTATCTTAGAATTTTTCCCACGTATATGACATGAAATATTAAAATAGCTAACAATTATTGAGTGTTCACGATATACAGTCACTGTTCAAGCTCTTTATAAATATTAGCTAATGTAAGTCTCATAGTAACTCTCTGAGGCAGGCATAACTATTCTCTGTTTTTAGAGCTGAAGTAACTGAGGTATGGGGAGGTAAAGTTACTTTTCTAAAATGAAACATCTGTAAGTAGCAGATGTGAAAATAAAACACAGGTGATCTAGCTCTAAATTTCCATGTTTTTAACAACTGTAATATACTACCTCTTAATATGTACAAGGATATTTACTGCAGCATTGTATGTAATAGCTATATACTACAAAAAAATATCCATTTGTCAATGCAGTAACTGCATAAATAAACTCCAAACAATGGAATACATGCAGCATTTCAAATGAATGTCAAAGCTCTGTCAGTAACTGATATAGAAAGATCGCTAGTACATTTTAGATGAAGAAAGCAAACCGCAGAACAACGTACACATTATGCTACTATATATGTAGAAATAAAATGAAATATTACATATGTGTGATCATACATGTTTGTTCATGCACAGAGTATCTCCAGAAGGATACCTAAGAAACCGTAACACTGGTTACTTGGGAAGGGAAATGGTTGGCTGGGAGACAAGAGTAAAAGAAACACTTACTTTTCGCTTTTGTATAACATGCATGTATATCTAGTCAATAAAAATAAGTTAAATAATTTCAAAAATAAAAAGTGGAAGGGAAAAAATAAAAATAAAGAAAAACTTTGCCATTACCTATGTCTTTTATTTATTTTACATATACGCTATCCACACGAGCTTATACTTGAAGAAATTATTCCACAGTTACCACGAGTTTGTTAAACACTGGAACAAAGAATGACTTATAAAGCTTAATGTTCACAGTAACTATGTGAGGATACAAGTTTATGGAAAATAGTTTGTCCTACCTGATATGTGCATTACAGTATCTTTTTGCATAGTCAGTCCATGATCCAAATTTTTGTGGAAAGAGAGCTTCAATCTGCATGAAAAGCTGTAACAATACAAGTGTTCTCAATATGCTGTAATATTTCCAAGTAAATTATGATGATGATGATAAAACCAGTTAATAAAATAATAAAAAGGAAAAAAGAAAATCTACTTTCTTCAAGGCTCCTCCTTATTGCCCATTCCCATCCCTGCCATCCTATTTGTCATGGATAACTGTTATCTGTTTCATAAATATATATTTATACATTTTTCTATGTCTAGGTAAGCATATGTATATATTCTCTTTTATTCACATGAAGAGGATTCTATTACACATACTGTCACACAACTAGAATGTTGTCCAATAAAACACGTCTTAGACACTTTTAAAGTACAGATAAATCTATTTTTACTTAGTTTTAAAAATTACAGCCGGGGCCAGGCGCGGTGGCTCACACCTGTAATTCTAGCACTCTGGGAGGCCAAGGCGGGAGGATTGCTTGAGCTCAGGAGATCGAGACAAGCCTGAGAAAGAGTGAGACCCTGTCTCTACTAAAAATAGAAAGAAATTGGCCAAACAATTAAAAATAGAAAAAATTAGCCAGGTATGGTGGCGCATGCCTGTAGTCTCACCTACCCAGGAAGCTGAGGTAGGAGGATCACCTGAGACCAGAAGTTTGAGGTTGCTGTGAGCTAGGCTGACGCCACAGCACTCACTCTAGCCAGGGCAACAGAGTGAGACTCTGTCTCAAAAAAAAA